CCCGGGAGACCCAGGGCCACCCCTGGGGCACCCAAACCCCGCCCCAGGAGACCCAGGGCCACCCCTGGGGCACCCAAATCCCCCCCCGGGAGACCCAGGGCCACCCCTGGGGCACCCAGAGCCCTCCCCGGGAGACCTAGAGCCACCCAAACCCCCTTCAGGAGACCCAAGGCCACCCCTGGGGCACCCAGAGCCCCCCGGGGAAGAGAGGGTCCCCTGGCACATCTCCTATGGAGAACAGCAGCAGTCGAGGGGTCCCCATCCCACCCACACAGGACCTGGTCCCTCACCTCCATGCTGGGAAGAGTAGGAAGACCGGGAAGAGGTGGACCACTGCTTGGCAAAGGTATCATCAGGGGAGGCATCGGCCACCCCCTGCACGTCAGCCCCCTCCTGCCCACTGGCAGCCCCCGGCTCCGGCCGCCCCTCGGGACTGGCCCCAGTGGCGGGGGGCTCCTCAGCCTCGCCGCACTTGGCCATCTTCTGCGCCAGCATCCGCGCCGTCTCCTCCTCCAGCTGCCGAATGTCCTCCATCGTCAGGTCCGTCCACTCATCTTGCCAGCACCAAGCCTGGCGGTGGGCGCGCAGCATCACCTTCCGCAAACCTGCGACGGGGACGGGGCGGGGAGCGAGCCTGGCATGGCCCCGCGGCTCCCCAGACCTGCTCCCCCAGCAGTGCCAAGGCTCCGGGGCGGTTGAGGGCTCCCCGCCACCGCCTCGCACTCACCCACGTCGTGGATGAACTGCTCGATTTTGGATTGCATCCCCCAGTAGCGAAACTCCACCTTGCAGAGCTTGTAGGCGCACATCAGGGGCCCGCCGGCGGCCGTCTCCAGCCAGTCGTCCCCCAGCGGGCCCCGGCCCGTCTTGGCTGAGTGGTAGAGCTTGGGGTCCTCCTCGGGCTTGTATTCCCCGGGGGAGATGGGGTCACGCACGATGTCGATGGTGTCTGCGGGGGGGAACAGTACTCGTCACCCCGCAACACTCAGCGAAGAAGCCCCCAAGCAGAAAAGTGGGGAAAAACGCACAAAAATCAGAGGGGGCACCCTTCAAATTATTCCCACGGGCCGTGCGCCCAACACAGCCGGTAGCAAACGCTCTCTATCCTGCAGCTATAACATCAAAGGCACCCTTGGGTGCACTCGGACGCCTCCCGTGTCTGCACAGGTGCCCGATCCGGTGCCCCGGGGAGTGGCGCAGCACGGCTGTGGGAGGCGGCGGGGGGGAGGCGCGGAGGGGGCGGGGCATGCGAAGAGCCGGGGCTGACACACATACGCGCATTAGCCAGGAGATTTGGCAGCTGGGAGAGCGGCCCCGGCGACCCCGGGGGACGCAGGGGCTGGGGGCGAGGGGAGGCGGATCGGGGCG